TGACACTAAAACTTAAAACAGCCTTTATGAACAGAAACACTTTGACACCTCAGGTAAAGGGCTACATATTTCCCTGGATTTTTTTCATATTTTAACTTTCACTTAAATGACATTGTCATTTTACTTATAATAGGAGAACCTAGAAACTTGATTCCTGCTTATTAGTGTAAACCAAAGGGGTTATTTCCAAATGTTTTCAGTTCAGTTTTTGTTTATGTGTAATATAAATGATTTAAAAGCCAGGTTTTGGGGGAAGCTGTTATAAATGTGTGTAATAGTTGCTGCCTCAGCATCCATTTTCAGGCCTGACCTAAGTCGTCTGAAGCCCAGTCTCACTGTATCCCCTTTGGTCTGGGTAACACGCCCCCTCCCTGAGTGGGTGCGACGTGGCCCATTTGTTCTTCATCCCACTGAGCCAGAACCCACACATCACACAGCTGCTGATAATGATAAAACCTAATGGTTAACGCCAGAGTCCTGTAAATGAGCCCAGCTCCACGTGTTCTCTTAAATCAGCAAAGCCACACCCTCACGGGAAAGCCCGAGAACAAAGCTCCAGGACCTCCCTCTGCTCTCTGGTTCCCCATGGCCTCCAGACTGCCCCTCGGGCTCCAGACGCTCCCCGAACTTCTCCAGGATGTGTAAGTTAGAGATTTCTTCTGTTCCTGCGTTTTGGTGTTGCCACCTCCTTGTGCCTTACCTGACTGACACCCCAGAGCCTACCTTTCCCCCTGGCCAGGGCTCTCCTGGAGATGGACTGGTTTCTGGCCTCCTTTAAAGAGAGACCTTAAGACCAAATTAGAGAGAAACCTAAATAAATAAATCACAACAGAAAGCTTGGTTGTTTACTTACAGTACATATTTATAATGTAAAATGTGTTCATGATAGATTTAGAACACACTAGACCTAGCTCTAAATGGCACTGCTGTCTTGTGGTCTGCAGTTATTCCTCATTTCATTTTCCACTTGAAGTCATTGTATTCCCTCAGATTATAAACATACTGAATTCTTTAGCTGAAAAGACAAGGTAACTGGATAGAGCATCCCCCTTAGGAACCATAACCCCCAATGCGGAACAAATTAAATGTGCAGAACTGTGAGCACCATGTCCTATGTTATTAAAGGAAGAAATAATGTTGAGAGGCAGGAAGGTCTTTATGAAGAAGTTTAAAGGAGTAGAAGAATAGACAGATGAACTAGAAATGGAAAAAGTCAGTTTTCCTTTCCTTTAGGAGTAAGCCACTTTGGAAACTAGCTGGTAAATGTTACAGTCCCTCTAGGTGGTAAAGTTATTGAATACTAAGAAAACACTATGGCTCACATGTTCATCGTGCAAAGCACACCTGTAATATTTCATTTGGTCTCTCTGAGACCCTGTAAGAAACATGAAACATTTTCAGATGAGGAGATTGGGCGTCAGGGTGAAGTTAGGAGACTGGTAATACTTACTTAGAGAGAAAGTGGTGGATCTGAGTTCAGATCCAAATTCTTCCAAATGCAAGCACAGGGCATTTTCCATTGATCAGCCCACTAACCAAAGAAACCCAATTTATGCAAACATTTAAAATGATGCTATGGCCATTTGAGTAAGACCAGTTTTGGCCTATACTTTTGATTCCTCATTACCAGCCTACCATTGGTTATCTGATATGGGCAGCAGAATTAAGATGTAATGAAGTCTAATAGAACCTCTCATTATTTGTGTAGATACAGTAGTAACAGAGACGGTGATATAGTTTGAATGTTTGGCCCCTCCAAATCTCATGTTGAAATGTGATCCCCAGTGTTGGAGGTAGGGCCTGCTGGGAGGGAGGTGTTGGCTCATGGGGCAGATCCTTCATGAATGGCTGGGTGCTCTCCTCACGGTAATGGCTGAATTCCTGCTCTCTTCACTCACTGAGATCTGGATGTTAAAGGTGGTACTGCCCCCGTCTCTCTCTTGCTTCCTTTCTCACCATGTTAGGTGCCAGCTCCCCTTTGTCTTCTGCCATGATTGTAAGCTCCCTGAGGTCTCACAAGAAGCAGATGGTGGTGCCATGCTTCTTGGACAGTTCGTAGAACCATGAGTCTAATCACCCTCATTTCCCTATAAATTATCCAGCCTTAGGTATCCCTTTATTATAGCAATGCAAATTGGACTAATACAGATGGGGAGATATAAATATTAATTTAAAAGGTGTTTATATATTGCCTAATATTCTCACGGAGACTGGGAGGCATTAGAGACACATAATTGAAAACAAAATATCCTCCCAACCAAGGAAACTTCTCCACAAAGGCATGAGAGAAAGAAAACAGTTTTTAAAATATTATTTAATTTCCGGGGTACAGGTGCAGAACATGCAGGTTTGTTACATAGGTATACACGTGTCTTGGTGCTTTGCTGCATCCGATCCTCCCATCATCTACACTAGGTATTTGTCCTGTTATCCCTTCCCAATCCCCCACCCCTGGCTATTCCTCCCCTGCCCTTCCCTACCACCCACAGGCCCTAGTGTGTGATGTTCCCCTCCCTATGTCCATGTGTTCTCATTTTTCACCATCCACTTATTTTTTAGAAAAATTTATTATGTTTTAAGTTCTGGGGTACATGTGCACATCGTGCAGGTTTGTTAAATAAGTATACACATGCCATGGTCGTTTTTACTGCATCCATTGCCACGTCATCTACATTAGGTATTTCTCCTAATGCTATGCCTCCCCAATTCGCCCACCCCCTGCTATTCCTCCCCTAACCCCTTTCCCCCCCTCCCCAGCTCCAGTGTGTGATGTACCCCCACATGTGTCTGTGTGTTCTCATATGCACCACCTACTTATGAGTGAGAACATGTGATGTTGGGTTTTCTGTTCTTGTGTCAGTTTGCTGAGAATGATGGTTTTCAGCTTCATCCATGTTCCAGTAAAGGACATGAAGTCATTTTTTTAATGGCTGCATAGTATTCCATGGTGTATATGTCACATACTTTCCTTGTCCAATCTACCTATGATGGACATTTGGGTTAGTTCAAAGTCTTTGCTATTGTAAACAGTGCCACAATAAACATACATGTATGTGTGTCTTTACAATTGAATGTTTTATAATCCTTTGGGTATATACCCAATAATTGGATTCCTGGATCAAACAATATTTCTATTTCTAGATCCTTGAGGAATCACCACACTGTCTTCCACAAAGGTTGAACAATTTATACCCTCAGCAGCAGTGTAAAAGCTTGCCTTGTTCCCCACATCGTCTCCAGCATCTGTCTCCAGATTTTTTAGTGATTGCCATTCTAACTGGCCTGAGATGGTATCTCAAAGTGGTTTTGATATGCATTTCTCTAATGACCAGTGATGATGAGCTTTTTTTCATACCTTTGTTGTCTGCATAAATGTCTTCTTTTGAAAAATGTCTGTTCATCTCTGTCACCCACTGTTTGATGGGGTCGTTTATTTCTTGTAAATTGGTTTGAGTTCCTTGTAGATTCTGGATATTGGCCCTTTGTCAGATGGGTAGATTGCAAAAATTTTTTCTGATTCTTTTGTTTGCCAGTTCACTCTAATGATAGTTTCTTTTCCTGTACAGAAGTTCTTAAGTTTAATTAGGCCCCATTTGTCTATTTTGGCTTTTGTTGCCATTGCTTTTGGTGTTTTAGTCATGAAGTCCTTGCCTATGCTTATGTCCAGAATGGTATTGCCTAGGTTTTCTTCTCAGGTTTTTATGGTGTGTTAAGTCTTATGTTTAAATCTTTAATCCATCTGCAGTTAATTTTTGTATAAGGTTCAAGGAAGGGATCCAGTTTCAGCTTTCTGTATATGGCTAGCCAGTTTTCCCAACACTATTTGTTGAATAGGGTATCCTTTCCCCATTGCTTGTTTTTGTCAGGTTTGTCAAAGATCAGAGAGTTGTAGCTGTGTGGTGTTGCTTTCGAGGCCTCTGTTCTGTCCCATTGGTCTATATATCTGTTTTGGCACCAGTACCATGCTGTTTTGATTCCTGTAGCCTTGTAGTATAGTTTGAAGTCAGGTAGTATGATGCCTCCAGAATTGTGTGCTTAGGATTGTCGTGGCTATGTTGGTTCTCTTTTGGCTCCATATAAAGCTTAAGGTGGTTTTTTCCAATTCTATGAAGAAAGTCATTGGTAGCTTGATGGAGATAGCATTGAATGTGCAAATCATTTTTGGGCAGTATGCCCATTTTCACGATGTCGATTCCTCCTAACCATGAGCATGAAATGTTTTTCTATCTGTTTGTGTCCTCTCTCCTTTTCTTGAGCAGTGGTTTGTCGCTCTTTTTGAAGAGGTCCTTCACATCTTTTGTTAATTGTATTTCCATGTATTTTATTCCCTTTGTAGCAGTTGTGAATGGGAGTTCAGTCATGATTTGGCTCTGTGTCTATTGTGTATAGGAATGCTTACGATTTTTGCACATTGATTTTGTATCCTGAGACTTTGGTGAAGTTGCTTATCAGCTTAAGGAGATTTTGCACTGAGACAATGGGGTCTTTTAAATATACAATCATGTCATGTGCAAATAGAGACAATTTGACTTCCTCTTTTCCTAATTGAATAACCTTTATTTCTTTTAGCATTAAACCAGAGTGAGATGCATGTTTCAGGAAATCAGCTCAGAAATTGCAATGGCAGAAAAAAAAAAAAAACTCACCTTTTTATATAACAAGGAGATACAACTTTTAACGTACAGATTCTCAAGGTAAGCAATAACTTGTCCTCAAGGGGACTTTACAGTCCCATTTGTCACACACCTTTCATTTTGAATTTTCTTAGTAATTGGGGTAACCATCTGTGTTAGACAATTGGCTTTATCCAAAGACAAAATAAACTTTTCATGTCTTTATAAAAGGAGGTTTTCTTGCAACTTGTAGAAAGTTACCTGCTGAACTTATCCTCCCAGGCTCCTACTGAACCTGAGAAATGGAGGTGTTATCTTCCTTTACAATTTTCAAAATGATGATTCCCAGGCTTTGAGAACAGCATCCTTGGGTCTTAAAACTAACAAGAGACTAAGTTATATTTTAAGAATATTTACATACATTTCAAAATGACAAAGATGTACAAGTTTTCTAAAGTAAATACCCTAAGAAAAAGGTGCCTCTTTTCTTATTTTGAACGTGGAAAATATATTAGTCAGTCATTATAGGCTTCCTAAGAAAACACTACGGATTGGGTAACTTAAACAACAGATATTTATTCCCTCACTGTTCTCGAGGCTGAAAGGCCAAGATGAAGGTGCCAGTGGTGTTGGCTTTTGGTGAGACTGCTCTTCCTATCTTGGAGACAGTTACCTTTTCACTCTATCCCTTGTGGCCTTTTCCCCATGCACAGGGAGAGAGATCGCATGTGTCTCTTCCACCTCTTAGAAGAACACCAGTCTTATCATACTGAAGCCCAATCCTTGTCATCTCATCTAACCTTAATTAACTCTCTGAAGGCCCTTTCTTCCAATAAAGTCACACTAAGGGTAGGACTTTCACATACAAATTTAGTGTGGGGCACAATTCAGCCCTTAAGAAAGAGTTGAGCTTCTTATTTTTAGTTGGTATTTGTCCTTATGGGACTAGCCAGCCAGGCTAAGTCCTTCCCATCGTGGGGCATGTGTTAGAAGAAGAGATGATCATAAGAGAGTACATGTATCACTTGCAAGTAGTAATCAAGGAAAGAAAGAGTGATGAGTGAAGGCCCTTGGCTCAAGGATGAGAAGATACCAGCCAGCTCCTGGTTAGCCAGGCAGTAAATAGAGCATTCCTGATGATTTCGAAAGAAAAGAACAGAGCTACAAAACCAATTCATGGAAGCAGAATCATCTAGATAATCAGTGATATAACTAAGCTGTGCAGACAATTAGGCCATCAATCAATAATTTATCAACATTCCACTTACATATGCATTTATGTATGCACTCAACATTTAATCACCCCTACATTCATTGTACACATCAGTATGGCTGAAAACTACCCAGATAAGTTTTTCCTTCCTGCAATCACTTGCTATCACTGTAGATTTCATGAAACTATTAATTAGGTTTCAACTTAGATTTCAATTTCAAGCTGTTGTCATGTTGATTTTACACAAATAGTTATGAGGTGAAATGACAGAATTCTCCTCCTACCAGTACAGTTCACAAAACCCATGAAACATTTATATGGCTTGAAGCATCGTATGTGCTCAGTTTATGGTGAGAAAATAGTTATCTGCATTTCTTCCCAGTTTTAAAAAACAACTATCAACTAATTGATATGGTATAACACACTCAAAATGACTGAAAGACAGTCTGGACAAATTTACATGATTATATAATCTGATAAAGTCCACAGATCATTAGTAAACTTACATCTAAGGAGTTTGGGACGAGTCTTCAGGAACTCAGTACTTAACTCTTCTCAATTTATGGCCATTTTGTTAGTAGGGTGGATTTTCATCACTGGAGGCAGACGTTACAGTGCTCCTCCCCTCAGGCAGTCAGGCTTAGAGGAAGGCAAGTGAAGGCCAGATGAGACTGAGCCTCCACCCAGCTCCCCATGCCCATCCACCCTCTGGTTCTCTGCCCTGTGCATCGTCTCTACGCAAACAGCAAGCAGCTTTTTACTTTATTCAGTCAAATAAAGGGTAGACCTCTTCATGTAAGATACTGACATGTTCAGTAATAAAATATTTGAAGTCAGGTTAGACATGTTTTAGTGACTGAGTCATATTTTAAAGAAATAAGAGATGAGGATTCATTGTGCATTTGTTATACCAAGTTTCAGACAAGACTAACATGGGCCCTGGGCACCAAGCATGAGTGAAGCATTTTAGTCTCAGGAAGACAGGCTTTGTACTGTATTCTGTATTAGGCAGAATCAGAAAGTAGAGAGATTGGAGAGTCCTAGATAAGATGACAGAGAATGGGTAGCATTCTGACCAGCAGAATGCTGGTTAACCACGACTTTGACCTCACCTAGCTTCCCACATGGTTCATCAATAGCAGTGGGGCACAATGCGTTATCTGCTGAAATGCAAAGGAAACGTTGATGCATTTTAAATTTATTTCCTGTAGTAAATTGAATTTTCCCCTAAAATATAGTCACATTATTAATTACTTTAAATCTTGGCTTTGCCACATATTATGTGTAACGTTGAGTAAGTAATTTAACTTTTCTATGTCTCATTCCCTCATCTGTAAAATGAGGTTGACAGTAGTGTCCCCTGAGGGTGGTTGGTGAGAATACTAAATAAATCAACATATGTAAACCTCCCAGAACAATGCCTAGTGCATAACAAATGCTTCATAAGAAGATTCTTTATTTTATTTTATTTATTAGGATGCAGGTGGTATTTGGTTACATGAGTAATTTCTTTAGTGATGTGTGAGATCCTGGTGCGCCCATCGCCTGAGCAGTATACAGGCATTGTATTTGCTGCCTTTGTCCCTTGTATCTCCCCCTCCCCCAAGTCACCAAAGTCCACCGTGTCATTCTTAAGCCTTTGTGTCCTCATAGCTTAGTTCCCACATATCAGTGAGAACATACAATATTTGGTTTTCAATTCTTGAGTTGCCTCACTTCGAAGGTCATGGCAAATGCTGTTAATTTATTCATTTTTTTGGCTAAGTAGTATTCCATCATGTATATGTATGCCAGTTTCTTTTTCCACTCATTGACTGATGGGCATTTGGGTTCGTTCCATGATTTTGCAGTTGTGAATTGTGTTGCTATAAACATGCATGTGCAAGTGTCTTTTTCAAATAATGACTTTTTTGTTTTCTGGGTAGATATCCAGTAGTGCTATTGCTTGATCATATGGTAATTCTACTTTTAGTTCTTTAAGGAACTGCACCTTGTTTTCGGTAGTGGCTGTACTAGTTTACAT